CCCCGCCACTACGAAGCCTCAGGCCCCACTGGACAGCAGTCAGAAACAATCAGAAGTAACGGAACACTGTGAGGGCTTTGAGGATGTGGGCGAGCTAGAACAAGTAACAGGCTAACCAAGAGTTTGGACAGTGAGGGAATAAGATGGCCATGAGGCTTTGGAAACCTCGACCCTGGGAATCTAGAAGGCCATACTCTGAGAGCTATGCTCCCTGGATTCTCTCAACCCTACCTGATATCAGCCTGCACCCCACACTAAGTTACTCCATGTAGCGCAAAACACGGTTTTTCAGACTGTGCCTTGCCCTGAGAGACTCCATTTCAAGGATGGAGGGCGAATGGCGCCTGGGTGACATATAAATGAGAACTCTGAAAAGAATTATTTGCATTGTTTTCCCAGTGTTGATCTCATACATGGAACTGTAGGTTGCAAATAATTCTCTCCAGAGTTCTGTAGGTACCTGGTGATCCTGTCAATTGGCACTTGAGGCTGGGTAGGGAAGGGACAAGTAAGTGTCCCACTGCTACATTCAAGAGAGCTAACGCCTCTCAACCAACCATCCCGGAAAGCAGTGTGTTTCTATTTACAGCGTAAAGTCCTCAGAACGAGCAATGCCAGAAGACTCCTCAGAAACACAGTAAGTGCAGAGCAGCTAAGACAAGCTGTGAGCAGCATGCATAAACACCAGAAAGGACCGCTGACTATCACACTCTGTACGCCACCTGATTGAACCTAAGCAAACAGCCCAATGAGAGCAGGGCAGGGAGGCCCAGCAGTGGGCCACAGGGCTGGATCTCAGGATCCATAGCTTTCATTCCCCGAGTGACCCTAAGCTCATCTCCGACCCTTAGGTTCCCACAACTATGAAATACAGCTGAAATCACCTGTGCTCTGAGAAGCTGTGATGAAGTGGAACCAAGCGGATGGAGAGCACTGCTTGAACGGGAAGTGAGATTAACTCTCCCTCACACTGCAAGTGCCCAAACATTTACGATTTCCACTCATCCAAGTCTGTCTCCAGGTGTTCCTTCAACCTGAATCATCTGGATTAAGGACCAGAATAGAAACAGACTCAAAAGATAATTCTATAATCTGGCAGGTAAACAAAGCAAAGTGCTTATTATCTAGTTGACTGAAATTCTTTCCCTTGAGAATAAATTATGTATTATAGAAATTAGACTTACACTATTTTTGCATGCCTGCACATGCATAAAAAAAAAAATTACCTTCACGGTCAAATCCTCCTCCCCCAGAGTGACATGAACTTGAATTGGAGGATAGACACCTTTGTCAGCATGGTGCTCCATGGTTGCTCTCATTGCATTCTGAAATACATTAGGATTACATTAAAGTACAGTTTAAAAAAAAAAAAAAGCAACTCCTTATAATTCTGAAACACAGGCACATTATTTGAATTTTAAGTTTTCTTTGTCATTGGTTTGAAGCTAAGAGAATTTACACCATAAAATGTTTTGACCAGTTTCTAGAAGACATGAGGCACACAAGGCCAGCACTGCCTGAGCATGGCATGGAATAGGAACAGGACACGTGGCACTGGAGCAGATCTGATGAAGGCCAGAGAAATCTGCGACCGGATGTGGAATTAAGAGTGGGAGCCCTGGCTGCCAAGGACTGAGCAGCCCTGGGGAGAGGAGACTGCACAGTTTAACACTAGGTTCTAGACAAAACCCACTGTCATGGGCATTATATAATACGTCACAGCTTATATAAAGTTGTATTCAGTATCGTAAGGTTCCAGCTTTACATGACTGAAATTTCAAGGGGAAACACAGTTCTAACACTTTTTAGCCACTGGTGGGTTTCTGTCGGTGTTAGGTAGATTCTTAATTTGCCAAACAAAGTGCATCCCCCCCCCTTACTTTCTTAGCTGTCTGTGTCATGGCACGAGTTCTTTCTTACTTTCTTTTGCATTTTCAGCCAGGGTCTTGCTATGGAGCTCAGGCTGGCTAGATAGTGCCTGCACCCTTCCTGTCCCCACTTCAAAGCACTGGCATCATGGAGTTACAGGTGTGTGCCACCGCACCTGGCCAGTGCTGGCATCATGGAGCTACAGGTGTGTGCCACCGCACCTGGCCAGCGCTGGCATCATGGAGTTAGGGGTGTGTGCCACCGCACCTGGCCAGCACTGGCATCATGGAGTTACGGGTGTGTGCCACCGCACCTGGCCAGCCTGTTGGTATTTTGCCTTATCTAACAGCCAGCCATCTCTCTGCTCCTCTGGCCTGTCGCTGGCTGAAGAGCGGGCAGCTAAAGGAGACGATTCAGCCTGATCTAAGATGGCCAATTTCAACTGCAGGAACCAAATACCATTATCAACCACTTCCTTCTGACTAACAAGTGGGGGGAGGAAGCGGGGGGTGGGGAACAGGAGACACAATTCTCAACATAACCAGCATGCTTTGATTGGGTTTTCTGAATCTGTTATAAACAGCAACTAGTTCTCTAAGTCCAGCATAAACAACTTTCTAAGAAAAAAAAAAAAAAAAAAAAAAAAAACAGAATAAAGGCAATGTAAGTGGGGGCTGGCTCAAGGGTAGAAAGTTGGGAATTACTATTCTAAATATTTTGGTTTATGAAAATATGAATATAACTCTACTAAGCAATGATCGCATGCTCTGCTATTATGGCCATTCAGTACATCTTCCCCAATATTCACAAGTTTCCCTGGAGAATATTACCCTAGTTTCAAAGAGGACACCGAGGTTCAGAGAGGTTGAGTCATTTGCCCAAAGTCACATATTATGCAACAGAATAAAGATTCAACTCCAGGTCTGACTCCAGGGTCTGTATGGAGGCACCCATCTGCATAGACATGGGCTCTCTTCCAGCAAAGTGGCATGCTACTGACATGAACCAGCACATCTTAATGAAATAGGAAGTCCAAAGGAATATGGGTCTTAGAACAGATTCCTAAGCTCAAGAAAGGACTGGCAAAGGTTATGCAATACTATTTTACAAACCTTGAACAGTTCAAACACCATGTGATAGAGATGGGATGGTACATAAACCACTTGTATTGTCTGTCCTGGTGAAATCGCTACAGAGCAGAAGAGAAAAATATGAAAGTACAGAGAGATGCGCTTAAAGCATTCTTAAGAATAAACTGGAGTGATGTGGAGAAAACATTAGCTTTGGAGGACGGCACTATGGGTGGGGGACTGTCACACCATTTCTTCACTGTCTTAGAGTTTGAACGCTGTACTCACACTTATGGATGATGGGGACAAGAACCCTGCTGCTATTCCTCAATCTGGTGTAAGAGGTTAGCCACCCATCCTCCCATGCTTTTCTATGACAGCAAGTGTCAAAGGAATTCAATCTTCACGTAAACCCATACTTCCTAAGATGGACAGCTTAGGAAAAACAATGTTTCACCTAGGTAGAACAATGTCTATTTTATTTCAGATATTTCTATGGATACAGCACTGGACTAAAAAAATTTAAAAAGCTAGCATCATTCTCAGGGGGTATATGTAACACAGACCTCTAGGAGAACAAAGGGGTAAGACATCATATTTTTAGAGTACTTTGACCAATAAGTAATCGGGCTCTAATTCAAACAATAAACCGCACTCTCCTCTGAACCCCGCCTCCCACTCGGAAACACGAATGGGATATCTTGAAAGTGCACATACAGCTCACGCTCCCAAACTCTCATCTTCCTTCCTGGGTGGCACCCATCAGAAGAATCAGCGTGGCAGGAAACCACAGAGATTCTACCTCAACTGGGTAGCTACGCCATTGTTCCCGTCTTGGAGGTCGAGAATGCAGCTTCGTTAAAGCCTGTTAAAACGTATTTCCTCCCATCAGCTTCCCAAGGGATTATCTTAACCCAGGAGAGGTTTTCCTTGTTAAACTACCTCCATCAGTCGCCTTCCAAAACCCTGAACCCTCTATCCAAAGGCAGGGTGGAGAGGCCACCGGGGAGACGAGGATGAGCAGCTTCCTTTGTCTTTCACGCCCGGCCTCTGACTTCAACAATAAAAACTGACTCACAATGCAAGAAGTAGAAAAAGGCTAAACTTTGCTTTGAGGTATACACAAAAATTAAACATAATTTTCCTGGTATTGGTTTTTACTGTCTCTGAAAAAAAAAAAGCAACGAATCAAAATTATCAGTTTAAAATAGAGCAAAAACAAAACAACAAAATATTTGTCCTAAGAATCAGACTAAATTATGTAAGTGTAGATGTGCACTGCACACAGGTATCTTCTGCCTTCACACTTAGTGAAGAAGTTGATGGAAGAGTCCATTACTGTTCAAGTCAATCTCAACTTGCTCCTTGGTCGTCAGAACACGCATTACTGAGGACAGACGCCACCAGGCAGGCTTACCATTCAGTTCTTCAAGTTCTAGTTCAGGAGAGTTAACATAATACAAATCACAAAGCCGCCTAGCATTTTCATAGCCATCTAGTGTGAATCAAACAAAACAAAGAAGCATTAAATAAATTTACTTCTGTCTTATGCAACAAGAGGCCAACAGCAATGACAAAGGAAAATTTAAAATTCTCTGCAGAAGAAAATACACTTCAACCATCTTAGTGAGGGGAAGTCTTATGTGACAGAGCCCTCTGAGCCGTGAGAAAATAACGACAGGAAGGGCCACAAAAACTTAAAAACATCAGCATGGAAACACATACCATAAACAAAACATAAGAAAAAACAGCAGGCTAAAGAGATCGTTATTTGTACATTAAATATATATTTACATTATACATTTGTTTTTGAGACATCTCAAAAACAGTTTAGGAAGTGGACACCTTTATTACTTGATAACTTTTTTGGGAAGCATTGGAAATTTAAATGCATAAAAATGTTTTTTAATTCTAGGATTATTGTTGTTGTTGTTGAGGCAATGGTCTTACTGTGTAACCCCAGCTGGTCTGATCTCAAATTCCCTGGCTGACCCTGAACTCACAGAGATCCACATGCCTCTGCTTCCTGAGTGCTGGGATTAAGGGTGTCCACCCCCATGCCTGGCAATTCTAAGATTCTTGCCTTATACTAGCAAATCACTATATATTTAAGAATGTTCACAGAGATACTGTAACAAAAGGAAAAAATGAAAACAACCTAAGTGCATATTATAAGGAGGATAGGTTATAGCACTGTGTTACATCTACAGAGCCATTCGAAAATGTGGGCTATGCCCATATGGCTGAGTTTGTAGCAAAATGTCTGACACTTCATTTTCTAAAAGCAACACACACCGTGGCTAGAGAGAGGACTCAGCTATTAAGAACACAGGCTGCTAGCCAAGTGTGGCGGCACACGCCTTTAAAACCAGCACTCAGGAGGCAGGGGCAGGCGGAGCTCTGAGTTCCAGGGCAGCCTGGTCTACAGAGTGAGATCCAGGACAGTGAGGGATACACAGAGAAACCCTGACTCAGTTCCCAGTATCTACATGGCAGCACACAACCATCTTTAATTCTAGTTCCAGATCACATGTCTTCTTCTAGCCTCCAAGAGCACCAGGCATGTACATGATGTACAGACATAACTGTAGGCAAAACACCCAGATACTTAACTTTTTTTTTTTAATTTAAAAACAACAAAAACCATAAAACAATTGTGCATGTGATGCCAATAAAAAATGCTTGATAAGATACAAATTTCTAGTTTCACTGGGAACTAGAAAGGCCAGAGTCAGAACTGAATATTTTATTACATTGATTTTCTGTGTATGTGTGTGCATCTGGGGGCATGAGCATGTCAGGGGGCACATAGGGAGGTCAGAGGGGCAACTTCTGGGAGCTAGTGCTCTCCTTACAACTAGGGGGGCCTGGGGGCCAAATTCAGGCTTTAAAGCTTGGCTGCGTGTGTCTCTACACTGAGCCATCTCAGTGGCCCTTTTTTTAGGGGACATGGGGAAAAGATTTAAATTTTCTGAAGCAAAACAGATTAAATACACTTAGTCATATCACCAAACTTGACTTACTAACAGAGAATTCTATCAGGAGGGCATTTCCCTCACGTACTGCACAATTCATGTCATGAAGTGCTTTCCAAAGCTAACGTTTGTTCCTAACATTTTTCTCTCAGGACATAAGCAATGGTTACAAGGGAAGAACAACACTCGGCACTTTGGTGATGTTCGCATCCTTCTAGAAAGGACGAATGCACTTACCTTTAATAACTTCGACTACATCACAGTTTGGATTTATGCTTCCAATGTGTTTTCGATGAGATGGGCTTCCTTTTCCACCAAACAATAAAGCTATCAAAAGTGAAAAGCCAGATGAAGCGCATTTACCTAACACCCCTTTCCAGATCTAAATGATGTTGCTCTAAATGGTACCAAACAGTAGAACAAATATTTTCCTTAAGCGTAAAGATGACATTTTAAAGTCAATAAAATGCCTTCTTTGTACAGCAGTAATGTTCACTTTAAAGGGACATTTTCTAAATAAAGTTAAGAGTGCAACACACATTAACTAACTACTACTTTCAACTCTGGGACACTTACAGTGCTGGTTGAGTAACATTCTAATTGAAATGCGACTCATGTAGAATCGATCCAAAAAGTACTGGACATTTTGACTGGTGACAGGATCCACCCCGAAGCTCTCCTTGTATTCGGTCACACCCTGGGCCATGGTTGGAATAACATCATTGTGCCGGTTTCTGATCCTTATCACTGTGTCTGTGAATCTAAACAAACCTCTCTGTCAAAACATCCAAATATTTTTTTTTTTTTTTTTTTTTTTTGGTTTTTTCGAGACAGAGTTTCTCTGTGTAGCTTTGCGCCTTTCCTGGAGCTCACTTGGTAGCCCAGG